CGAGACGCAGAGCGTTGTACTGCAATGCCGGGTAAAAGGAACACCAAGTAAGCACTCCTAAGATTATTTGTAACAGCTTGTCAGGCTTATATATGATAGTGTTATACTTTTTAAGTCTCAAACGTTCTTAATTTTGGGCTTCTTTGCGTACACTATGAAGGGTTAATCGAATAGGTGATTTGACTGTTTCCCAAAAGAGCAATGTAGATAGTCTTCATTAGTTGGTAACTGTGAAACACAGGGAGTCTTTTGTATAAAAGCAGAAATTGAGTCATCCTTCATCATTTTTAGCAATTCTGTATTCCGCATTGAATTAATTTCCTTTAGGCCTTTAGAACTAGTCAAAATTTGGAATGCTATTGAACATTTCTATTCCTTCCTTACGTTTAATACTTTTTTGTGCGCCAAGGGTTGTTCCTAAAATCTTTGAATGATATTTGACACTGACTTGGCTTGAAAGTGAGTATGTTTTGAAACTATCAGAAGTTATTGAATAAGTAGTTAGTCACCATGGGTCACTTAAGGTGATTTTAATGATTGATAGAGGAACTTTCCTACAATGGTGTGTGTGTAGAGCACATGTTTCCATTTAATTTTACTTAGCCTTACTTCCAAAAAGGTATTCGCATTCATTTTGGATTGCATCTCAGACAGGGCCTAGGTCTCATCGGCCGCCCAATCGGAACTTGAATCCGGATTGTGGAAGTGCACCCTGTAGTCTTAACACGTTACCCACTGTGCCAGATTGCCACAAAAGCTCTTTGGGAATAGGGCGGAAGTGAATATTGAGGAAGGCCAGGCCTGTTTGGAAGAAAGTTATTTTGAACTCGTAAGCTTGAATTTTGCTGCGACGATGATACCTCGCTCTGATGATGTCCGTCATATGACGGACAAAAGCTTAGCACCTTTTCACCGAAATCGAAGAAGATTGCCTCGCAAAAAGCGTCAGCATGAATCTTTCAGTAAAGCCAATCGACAGCTGATCAAGAGGAATCCGCCGTCGTCTTCTGGTGGAACTGACCCTTGAATCTCTTCACCCAACACTTTCACTCGAAATGGAAGTAAGCTCAACAATTATGAAAGAAGAGATTCCTCGAAAGGCATTGTGAACTACAACGGAGGCGTTAGGCGTTTTGGTAGAGGTTAATTATTAGTCCTTTAGTATCTTAACGGAATAGGGTAAAAACTGTTCTTATTCAAGTTATGAATTACTCAAAGGTGGGCTACACACAAAATAGGACATAAACCAATTAGCCACTGAAAGCCCATATAAAATCTCAATATTCTCTCTTCTACGCGAATAACAAATACACTAATTACAATACGAATCTGAGAAAGTTATACGGGAATAGGGCATAAATAAATGGCAAATCGGTGATTTTTTATTCTTAACATACTCCAAAAATGATAATGGAATCTCAACGAACATGCACGAGTAGCTCATAGAATAAAAATAACTATAAACGATCTGAAACAAATAAACTAACAAAGCCATACCAATTACATAAAAAAGCTATCATTTCCAAAACTGATTCTCTCCTCTATTGCAAAACTCTTACTCTCTTCCAATGTAGTGCCAGAGCTAAGTTGGCTGTTCGAGGGGGAGCTCGTGAAGCCCTCCAGTTACTGTCAGATCGACATGCAACCGGAGGGTTTGAGCCGATTGACTCTGGTTAGCGCTTATCCCGAAGAAGCTGGAGTCTATTCTCTGCTTGCCACCAATCCGATCGGCCAAGTGGCGGCCCAGGCTCGAGTTACTGTGCTCAGTAAGTGTTCCTCTTCGCATGCAGATACATTAACATGAATAGGATTTTTCGGTTGATATATTAAAAACACATATCATATACTGTTATTATTTGAAAGTTATATCATCATGTGCATGCATATGGCGTGTAGTCGCCTTTTCATTCTATTCTTTTGATAGCCCTCTTACACAAAAACTTGGTTGAATGCTTCGAATTCATATTCGGTCTGTCTTGTTATTTGTACAGTATAACGTTGGGTTTATCAGTTGGCATTAGAAATGATAAAAAGGCTATCTGAGAAAAGCTGAAACTTAGTCTGGCCAGGTACAGATGCTCCTGCTACTACCTCGAGCTTCAATCTCCAAGAGATACTACTTATTCAGTTAAGCCATTTTGACCTCAAGACAGGATGAAATAAGTTGCCGATGTTGGAATATTTTAATCTTCTGACCTTGTTTTGCCTCGAAATGCCTTCCAGCAAAATGAAGAGGATTCCTATGCAAAAATCTTAAAATTCCCTTTCATTTAGGCCGAGCTGAGCAGCAGCATCCTCCTCGTTTCATCATTCCGCTTCCTTCCGAAGGTGTCCGCTCCGATGAGGGCTCTCCATTCGCCATAGAGGTTGAAGTCGAGGGTATTCCAATGCCCACTGTTACTTGGCTCCAAGATGATCGACCGTTGGCCGAAAAGGCGGGATGGGAGGTGAGTGGCTTAACTGTACAATTCTTTAAAACCAGTGAAACTAGTCAACGCTTAATCTTTCCGGAATAAAATTTGCTTTTTTATGACAATTATTAGGCTCTCATTTACCCATAACTGGGAGATTAAATCCCCGACACTCAATTATAAGTTGGCAAAACACAATTATCAGACTCGCTTCTGTTTCAGGCTTACTTTTATTCCTCAAAACCCGTCTATTATTTGTATTAAACTTAATTTTGATCTACTTTTAAGTTATTCGTTGTTAGAGCCGCTTGGTAACTGCTTCTTCTTCTGCCGTCTTACCACAATTTGGCCGTATCTCATGTCTGCAACATGGGACAGAGCAGGTTATCATCAATTTAACCAGTGGGTTGATATCATCAACCAATATATTCTCAATGTCGGAGCCGATGCAGTTTTCAATAATTGCATTATTGATATTTTAAATATTTCGCTAATGCAATTTCCTCCAGGCAGAACACTTGAGAAAGCTCTGCGGATGCGTCAATTCACGTGAATAAGAAATTTGGTGACTCAGCTGGTCTGGTTCCTGAAAAGCAAAATAGTTGCCAGATTTCACATCGTATCGCCGGTAGCTTAAGTGTTCAACTAAAGAGCTGGCCTAATTGATGTGTGTGTTTCCGCAGTCCCAAAAGAAAAAAGTACGAAACGGTAACTGATTGCACTTGTGAATGGATACATTGTTGTTTTTCTAAAAATATATTGTCGACGTACCTATTCTGACTGCAATTGTTGATAGTTTAGGTGTTCTAGCTGATTCCTTTTTGATTTTGCGAAAATTCCGGATTTAGTGCCGATATAAAAAAGTCATTAATGCCGTGATTCTTGGAGTCTCAGTGCAATTGGGAAATAAAGGACTGCATTTCGCCTAAATGGTCTACCCAAGATCACATGAAGGATTAACATGCTTTACCACCTGATTTTTAGCTGCTATTAGTCTTAAAATTAGGTTACCACTAAGCCTGGACGGTTTTATTACCATACTTGGTTCTCGTCATAACCGAAAAAGGAATCGATACAGGTTCATTCTTCATTTCTCTGCCCACCCCTTGAAGTGTCGATAAAGATTAACAGGCAGTCCAGTTTATGATGTTCACTCAACTGGCTTCTGCCTATATAGAAGTGGTTTCATTAATTCATCTCGAGGAGACCCTGAATTAGTATTCAAGTATGCAAACAAAAAATGGTATCACTCAAAGCTGAAGCAAATTCTTGTTCACCAGCCTAATGATACCACAGTTGTGGTATTTATTTTGTCCTCTAAGGTCTCCAGAAAAAGGTACTTTTTACCATAAAAATTATTTGTTTTCTAACCCAGTGGATAGTAAAGCGTCTTCATTATACAGGATAAAACAAATGCTATTTTTGACATATCTCTTCTAGCATATTTTCATGTCCAGAATCACCGGATCGACTGGGGTTACAAGAGTAAGAGGAGGCAATTGGCTTATATTGTACAATCTTATCAGTCCTGGAAAGCGATGTGGCTAAGTCAGTGCCGTAATTATACTTTAGAAAACTTGACATTTATAGAAGTGGGTCTTCATATCTTCAATTGACATTTATCATTCCGCCCTTTCCATTTTGATGTATGGCTAAAATGTAATTATATGTTTATCGGAAATTTTATTATCTTTTGGCTAAAATAAGCAGTTTTTAAGATAAATTAGTGTCATAATCAAATTAAACACTGTCCAATTGTGAAATCAATTTGCCAGTATTGGCAAGTTAAATCTATCGCCTGAAAAGTATTACTACAAATTCTCGTATAAGCTTTTGCCACTCTGGTTAACTCCGTTGTGCCTACTTAATGTAGTCGAACTCTTGAAGGAGATAGTACTGCTTCTTGAAGAGACACATCATTTTCATGCATTATTATGGGGAAGGATGGTATTTTTAGCCATGAGGGATTGAAATATAATTTTCATTTTACAACCAAAATAGGAAATTAAAAATATTTACAATGCGCATTGAGTTTAAAGCCTAAAACAAGCCGAGTTATCAAATAAAATTTCCGCATCATAGATTCTGCGTTGACTAAAGCATACAAGCCATGAGCGCCAGGCTCGGCTTGAAGCCTAATATGCATTGACTCGTTTTAGCCTCTCGAACCTCGAATTTTTTTCACGATTTCATGACAAAATACTCATTTTTACCATAATTAAATTGTTATTTTTAGATTTTTTTATAAAATTTATGATATTTCCTATTATAGGCCATTGCAAAGCTATTTTTCATTAGCTTTACAAATATACTAAACTCCACCAAATCACCATTTGGACTAGTCAATTTACACTGTTGTTAAAAAAACACTTTATTGTTGCATAGAAAACTCTTTGTGGGAGTTCTTCTATATCATCTAGTGGTTATAGCTCTTGAGGCTTCACTTTTTGAATAAAACTTAGAGTAATGTTAGCCGCTTAATTTGTTGGAAGACCTCATAGTTGAGTTTGCTACAACCTACCGACCAGGTGTCATGATTGCAGTTAAATCTCTCTCTAAAAGGTTTTCTCGTTTCGAAAATCTTACCAATCACCCCCACAGCCTCGATTTCCATTGGATCACTGACTTATATAAATTTAGGGCAATACAGGCCTCTCATAATTAATATTTTTATTTGGGATGGTGAGATGGGGTAAAATTGTATTCATCATTATAAACGACGACGGTACTAAATAGCATATAAGTAGATTTCAAAAATATCTGCATACTTGAGTAATATAGACGAAAAATTACGGAAAAAGGAAAATTCATTGATCGAGCTTATTAGGAGTCGAAAGCTGATTCCCGTGGTCCTGCAGTCGTTTGGCTTCAATGAGATAATTCAGTTAAGGAAGTCCACGACACATCCTCCCTCATTTCGGGGGAAAATGGGTTGAAGCTTGTTCTGTCGAATACGCCAACCTGAACGCCATATTAGAGCTAAACGGCTGCAGAACAACAAGGATCAGTCGACGTCTTCTGATGAGATCACCATACGGGTCTCGTCATCATGCAATTTTAGATGTAATGAAAGTATTCACAAAAATCATGAGTAGTAACCTGAATAGCGTTTAGATCACTTAAGAGACTCGGGTGTTAATTCGAGAATTAACATCAGATTTAAATGATTTCATTCCAGTTTATTGATCCAGTTGGCTTGAAAAGCCGACGATTTCTTTGCAACTTAACTCAACTAA